CTCATCTCTCTCATCTCTCTGTGTGTGTCTCTCTGTCTCTCATCTCTATCATCGCTATCATATCTCTGTGTGTGTCTCTCTCTCATCTCTTATCTCTCATCTTTCTCTCTCTCTCTCTGTCTCTCTCTCATTTCTCTCTATCTTATCTGATGGCTTTTTGCTCGCTGCTAATTTCCTGGCTGCAGATCCCCATTGCGGTCAGCGGCATCCGAGGAATGGGCTTCCTTATGAAGTATCACATAGAAGCCAACGGCGGGAACCTTCCCCCGAAGCTCTCCAACCTCTTCATCAAGGTAAGGCCACAGCTCTCGGCCAGCGACCCGAAAGGGCTGCCTTGAACGGGACAACTGCTCTTCAGACATTTTCGCACAGGTTGTCCTGCGGCGGGAGGGCTGAAATAATCCACTGCAGGGGTCCCCAACCTGCTGCCGGGCCGTGGCCTATTCACAACCAATAAGTCCTCACCTTACAAGTGAGCCCCCAATTTTCTGTTTGCGGAGCAAGACAGTTGCTTAGTGAGTTTTGCCCCCTTTTTACGACCTTCCTTGCCGCCCCGTTGCTCAGTGAATCATTGCACTTGTTTAAGTTAGTCACACGGTTGTTAAATGAATCCGGTTTCCCCCATTGGCCGTTGCTCGTCAGAAGGTCGCCGAAGAGAATCACGTGACCCTGGGACACTGCAAACGTAAATACAAGTCAGTCGCCAAACATCTGGATTTTGATCACGTGACCAGGGGAATCTTGGAAAAGGTTGTAAGTTGTAAGAATTCCAAGTAATAAAACCATGGCAAGCAAGACTCCGAGGCAGGTAGATTCCTCAATGAATGCTTTTATTTGGAATTATCATATTGGCAGAAATCTGGTGAAAACCGACTGAAAACTCGTTAAAAGCCAAAGATTTTCTACTTTCTCGAAACAACCAGTGATGTGGTCCAATCACGGTGCGGTCTGGCAATCGGGTAGCCTCACTGTGCCTTCCTCTAACCAGGTGCGAGAATGTCCTTGGTTTTCAAGAGAAAACATTTTTGTTCTGACCCAGGCTTCCTGAGACCATAATTAAGCCCACACTTAGTTAAAACAAGTCTTGTTTTATTTCCAGGCTGGGAATTATGTTCATTCCCAGCCTGTAATGAGTCCCAAACAGTTCCTCGAGATAAGCACCCACCTTTCTCTCCTTTGAATGGCTGCCAACAACTAAAGTGCCAAATGAACTGTAAAAAACCAACCGAAGTACAAAGTCCACACACAGCTTCAAGGATTAATTCGAACAGAGCAAATGACTTTGCTTCCTGCAAAGGTTTCTTGACCTTTGCCTGTCCTTTATCCCTTAGGGGAGGGGCAATCACCTCCCAGCCTTACTCCTGAGTTGCCCTTTTTGTTTCAGTTGCTCTTGCCTTCTAGCAGCTCTGTGCACACGCGCACTGGGAAGAGGCTCCCCTTGCTCCTCTTCCTTGCTGCTGCCAGACTCCAGAGGCTCCAGAGGCAGCACCCCACTGCCAGATGGCCCCGGCCCCATCTCTGCATAGGATGCAGGACCCTCGTCCGAATCCTCCCAGACTGATCCCCGTTCTTCCCCACTGTCCAGATTCCACTGTTGTCTGCGCAGGCTGCTGGCAAACCACAATAATTTCATTTTGGCTCCAAGATCCCCTGTATCTCTAATCCCCACCTCCCAAATCCCTCAGCTCCGGTGTGGTAACGGTCAAAAATGGCTTTGGCCAGGCGAGCTTCATGGTTGACACGAGGACTTACCTGTAATATCTTCTCGGGGGTGGGCGGGGAGTCCAACTTATTTCACAAAAACTAGCCAGCCCTTGAAACATCTGGATCCATAACCAACCCCGGGCCAAGCCGAAGCTTCCTGATTTTTTTACTCTCCCCTTGTTTGTCTCAGTGTCTTCAGAATCCATCCAGCGACATCAAATTGATTGCGGAGAAGATGATTTGGTGGGCCAACAAAGCCCCGCTCCCGCCCTTGGACCCTCCCGTGGCCAAGCCCATCCTCAAGGCCCTGCTGGACAACACGAAAGATAAGAACACCAGCGTGAGGGCTTACAGCGACCAGGCCATTGTCAACCTCCTGAAGATGCGAGACGGCGAGGAGGCGGTTCAGGTATTGGCTTCCCTCTAGGCGAGCGGAGGGGATGAGAGCCCAACTTTGGGCGTGAAGGCGCTGAAAGTGACGGGAGGGACGAGCCTGTGGCTTTTGTGATGGGCGCGACTTCGCAAAGCGTAGGGTCGGATGGAGGATGAGAGAGACCACTTCATGGGTTCAAAATGGCAGTGGTCTCCCTTCTCTTAGGCCATGCAGAGACATTTTTTGAAAGGCTAGGCTTGCCAGTGGTTTGATAATTTCTATTTTCTTTTAATAAAATGCTAATAAAGTGTGCAATATGATCATAAAATTAAGAATTTAATAAAGAGAGCGGGTTAGAAATAAGGAGCCTGGGAGTTCTAGTCCCGCCTTAGGCATGAAAGATGGCTGGGAGACTTTGGGCCGATCACCAGGAGACTGGGAGTTCTAGT